GCACTATTTAGTGACCATGAAAGGACATGATACTGTAAAAATATATGCAAACACTTACGCAAGCCTGGCACTTGGCAAGCCTTTGAGCATGCCAACTGTACAATCATCGCATAGAGATTGATGCCAAGAAAGCTTATATGAATCAATTTTTTAAAATTGGGTATTGGAAGCCGGGCAGTGGTGGCGCACGCCTTTAATCCCAGCACTCGGGAGGCAGAGCCAGGCGGATCTCTGTGAGTTCGAGGCCAGCCTGGGCTACCAAGTGAGTTCCAGGAAAAGGCGCAAAGCTACACAGAGAAACCCTGTCTCGAAAAACAAAAAAAAAAACAAAAAAAAAAAAATTGGGTATTGGAGCTTCTCAACTTATTTAAAAATATTCTGCTGAGGGGGATGAGGGAAAAAGAAGAAATCAAATATGAGATGGGATTTCAAGTGTTTCCATTGTATTAAAAGCCAACATATACTTCTCCTGGCCTGTAAGGCTCCCTCAGTGGACTCCAGAATTCGAAAACTTGAATGTGTGACTATAAGATTTATATGATTTGAGCAGGGTGTGTTGGGGCACATCTGTAATCCTGCCACATGGGAGTCTGGAGCAGGAGAATTTTTCAGGTCTTGGCTAGCCTATGCGGCACAGTGAGACCTTGTTTCAACACACCACCACCAACCAACAAACCTAAAATGCACATTGTTTCTTCTTGCCTCGACTATGATCTTAGTGTCATTTTCCTGGCTCTGTAGTGATGATCTTTCATGTGGTCTTGGTGAATTACCTTGCAATGAAGAGATAAGTTTCAATATTTCATAAATGTGGTGGTTTGCATAATAATGACCCCATGGACTCATGTATTTGAATACTTAATCACTAGTGAGTGACACTATTTGAAAGGATTACAAGGATTAGGAGGTATGACCTTGTTGGAGGAAGTATGTCACTGGGAGTGGGCTTCGAGGTTTCAAAAGCCCAATCCAGGCCCAGTCTTTCTCTCCCTCTCCCTCTCTGTCTGTCTGTCTGTCTCTCTCTGCCTGCAGATCAGGATGTAACTCTCAGGCACCGCTTCAGTTTCATGCAGGCCACCGTGCTCCCTGCCATGGTGATAATGGACTGAGCCTCTGAAACTGTAAACAAGCCCCAATTAAATGCTTTCTTTCCTAAGAGTTACCTTGGTCATGACATCTCTTCACAGCAATAGAACAGTGACTAACCTAATGTGTTAGGTTATTAAAATACAGGGCTTAAGGGCACCGTTAGTGTGTTCTTTCTTAGTCTAAATTAGAATTGCAGCTGAGTGTTCCTAGTGGGAACTGGGTACTGTTGATCAAAAGAAATTACTACCATGCTATTATTCTGAAACAAAATTCAAGATGTGGCTGGGCCTGATAGTGCATAGCTTTAATTACAGCACTAGAGGGCCAGAGGCAGGCAGAGATCTGGGAGTTTGAGACCAGCCTGGTCTACAGATCAAATTCCAAGCCAGCCAGAGTTCCATAGTGAGACCTTGTCTCAAGGAAACAAAACAAAAAACAACCAGGGTTTGGGCTCAGAATATGTGTATGTGAGACCTGCCAAATGTTTACTCCATTCCTTACATTTGTGATAAGAATAATGATAAATATCACATAAGGGCTAGGAGAATGTCCTAAAAACTTTAGAATATTCTTTGACAGCTTTAAAGTACTGCACAAGTGTTAGATGCCTGTTAATTTTTTGTTTGTTTTTTTTTTGGGGGGGGGGTGTTTGTTTGTTGTGTTTTTTGTTGTTTTTGTTTGTTTGTTTTGTTTTGTTTTGAGACAGACTTTCACTGTGTAACAGTCTTGCTGTTCTGGAACTCACTTTGTAGATCAGGCTGGCCTGGAACTCTCAGAGATCCACCTGCCTCTGCCTCCCGAGTGCTGGGATTAAAGGTGAGCACCATCACTTCCTGGCATTGCTTGTTAGTTTTTAAACTCCTGCTGATGAGAACATAGACTAGAGGTGGACGTGTCTGGGCCGTGCCTTTTCGAGGACACGTGAGCTAAGCAGTTCGCTTAGTCCAGAGCCACGGTTTCATTACCCAGGAACCCTCTAGGTCATGACCCTTTCAGAGAAAACTGGAGAGCAAGTGATGAGGTAAACAGTCCTCTCCAAAGGCAGGTGGAGAAGAGGCTAATTCCCGCCTGGCTGAGCTGGAGATGTGTTTTGAAGACACAAAGGAATGAAACGAGAAGTGATAAAGCGTGGCCACTGATTACCAGGATGTGTCAAGAGCACACAGGACTGCTGGTTAGCAGTAATGTCAGACAGGTGTGCAAACCTAATCCAAACACTGATGTAGATATACAAACTACAAATAAACAAATACAGTGTCACTTTCCAAAGCCAGTCTTTTATGCATCCAGTCAGAGTCACTGTTCCCTGAATAGCAGCCCATTGGTCTGCAGTGACCTCTGAGATTATGAAAACAATGGAGTGGCCCTGCACACATGCTTGTCTTTCCATGTGCATTGCTGATGTAAAAGCATTGATTACTAGGGCTGAGGGACTCCAAAGAGGACATCAAGATGGTCACTGATTGGCTCAGACAGTACCAGGAATACCCTAGGCAGATGCTCAGGATTTGATGTGACATTACATAGGATCTGTGGAGTTCCTGGCTCAGCTCTGACTCCTTACAGTTGGGTCCTTTTTCACACACACACACACACCTCACCCCCACTTCCTTCCTTCAAGTGTCATGGATGCACTCAAATCTGTGCAGCTTCCAAGATTCTCAGAAAATCCAATAAGCTCAAAGAAAGCTAGAGTCACAGGCATTGCCTGGCTCCTAAAGAGACCTAAAAAAGAGGAGGGATGAGATGGAAGAAGCCTCCTACCACCCCAGGAACAGCTGGTGCTGGTGAACTGATCCTTTAGTATGGAGAGTCTGAAGGGGCTTGAATGGGAGAGTAGCAGATCTCAGAAAACATGAAGGTCTTCTTGATCACTGAATCCACAGGTCCATCCAAGCAAGGTGCCACCTGGAATTCCATGGGAAATCACCCCCAGATAGATGTCCATCCCTACCAATCCTCAGCTTCACCCAACAGCCAGAGCTAAAATTAGTCACTACCAAATTTCTCGGTGACTCCTAGCCTCGGCATGTCAGAGAGCCTCCAGTTTGGGCTGTGTAGTGGCGTCACTGACCCGAAGGCTATCTTTAAAACTTGGGCCTGCTGCTGTTTGCCTGTGGACAGGGCGCAGAGGTCCTCTAAGCCTTGCTACTCCCAGCTTTAACTTGGAGACAGCCATTGCACTGTCCCCCTAGAGCTGCAGTGAAAGGTAATAAAAAGAATTTGAATCTCCTAGAGCGGTGGGCAACACGCAGGAAGGCCCGAGTCAGTAATGACTCATTTTCCCCCAGAAGTGAAGCAGCAGGAACCTGCAGCCCGGTGTGCTGGGTAAGGAGACAGGGGAATCATCAGTTCATGTGTCTGAAAAACTCCAAGCCGGGTCTGGTTCTAGGTACAGCTTGATTCAGGGACCAGGCTTGTCCTGCATCTCTCATCCCTTCATCGGCATTGGCAGAGTTTCTGGCAGACTGCCTGCCGCTCTTCCATGGAGGCGGGATGGCGTCTGTCCACATACATCTTTATAGACACAATGCAGAGGAGGCCACCCGCCCCTTCTCCCCCAAGCTCAATTGAGGGCCATCACGCTTTGTTCCTGAGCCTGCCACTGAAGTCAGGCACTGTTCCGGCGCGCCTATGGCATTGGGGACACAGCCACAGCTACTGAACCTTGGAGAGAGAGTCAGGGAAGGTTTTGGTGTCACTAGGAGGACAGCAGATGACTGTGAGTGGAAAACTACAATATCCGCAGTACCGCACCACCCACCCCATTTCAGGAGCAACAGGGTGTGATTGCTTTTGATTCCATACTGACTAATTAGGGAGGCTGTGTGTTCAGTCACCACTCACTGCCACTGTTTGTCATAGCATATCCAGGCCTCAAAGGGCTGGATGCAGTTGTGTCAACAGGATCATCTAGCTCAGGTTCCACCAGGATTTGCTCAATAGCCACCCGGAATTCAGAACTTCGTAAATGTTGCAAGTATTTCTAATAGCCGAGCTATTCCCTATGGTGGAAAATTTTATGCAACTGTTCCTTCCTTAAGACTGCAGTAAATATCTTCGTCCTCTTCCCAGTTCCCCCTTTGTTGGTATTTTGTGCTGAACAGTGTCCCTGTCCACAAACTGTCCTGTGCTGGTGCTGGACCAGGTGATTTGTAACCGCGGGGAGTGACCATGTGCTTGCTACACGAAGCTGCTGTAATGGGCACCAGTGAGGACTGCGCGCTTTAAACATACGTTGTCCTTCACAGAGGATGGGCCTGAGGCCCAGAGAGCCTCATCTCATCGCCCCTGTCCCCCGTTCAGTCCCTTCTGTGTCCACATCCCAGAAGTGAGCTCTGGCCCTGCTCAGGAGCCCTCAGGGTCAGTCTGAGCTCACACATACTGGCTCACGGCTGTCCCGTCTGCACAGCTGCACACTCCCGTGATCACGTGATCACGCTGCCTGCTGCCATCTTTTCCTTGTCTCCGAATCCTTCTCCTTAGAGATGTGCAGTGTCAGCCCCTTCCCGTCGGTTGCTGCGTTTTCTTCCTCTCATTCAAACTCCCCTTGAAAACCTCGTCTCACAGAAGCCCCTGTGGCCCAGGCAAGTTCATTCATCCTGGTCACAGCTCCTGTGTGTCAGCCACAGAGTTGGGCTCCAAGGACACAGTTCAGAGTTCTGAGTTTCTCAGAGAATGAACCTCTCTTCATGTACCCTGCCTTCCATCCAACATGACATTTCTCCCTTAGCAGTGCCATTAAAATATCCACCAAGCCAGCTGACCTATCCCTCAGATGACGACTGTCTGAAACACCACTCCATCTATTCTAGGGTAATGCTGGGTTTCAAACCACCAGCGGCGGGAACAAGGCTTAGCATCCTTCAGGAACTAAGCTCTGACCAGAACTCTTGGCTTTGTGTTCTCAGGGGACTGCTGGCTGCTGGCTGCCATCGCCTCCCTCACCTTGAATGAAGAAATCCTGGCTCGGGTTGTGCCTCTAGACCAGAGCTTCCAGGAAAACTATGCTGGTATCTTCCACTTCCAGGTAATTTAAGGGTTGACTTAAGCACCTCCTCACTCAGGCTCAGGGGCTCAAAAGTCCCCTGGTGTGGCTGGGTCCTCAGCTCCTCGGTCCCTGGTGGTTTGTGAGCTCCTGAGATCAGTATTGTTCTGCAGAGGATAATGGGGAAGGAGACAAGATTTTCCCAACCTGCCCACGATGTGGGATGCCATCAGAATGGCTGAGAGTTGTTGGGAGGTAGATCGTGGTGTACAGGAAGTAATGTTTTCAGGAAGTAATCCACAAGTTTTTTTTTTAAAGTTTATTATTTGAGGTTTAAGATAAAGGTTAAAAAAAACTTCCTCCTTTTATGATTGCAAATAAGAAATGATATTTTAAAAAAGAAGAACGTGTGGTTTTGGAGACAAAGACGAGCTTCGCCGTCCTCTCTTGCTTGCTGAGGGGCATGCCTACCATCGGAGACCGAAGAGCATTGTGGGAACGCAGAAGGGGCTGGGCGGGAAAGAGCCGGATGAGGCTGAGGCTGGGGGTCCTCGGGGTCCCAGCGCTGCCCTCTCTTGTCCTCCTCGCCCCGCAGTTCTGGCAATACGGTGAATGGGTGGAGGTGGTGGTGGACGACAGGCTGCCCACCAAGGACGGGGAGCTGCTCTTCGTGCACTCAGCCGAGGGGAGCGAGTTCTGGAGTGCCTTGCTGGAGAAGGCCTATGCCAAGTAAGTAGCCGTGCCCTTCCCAGCACCCCACCCTGCCCCTGCTGCCCCGGACTCCAAAACAGCAGGAGCTATTCGGGGACTGTTTTGAGTAGAAGTTCTGTTCTATAAAAGGATGACTCTGGCCCAAATCGGGCTCTTAATTCAAGGAGGTAATGTGGGCATGGTGCCTGGTCACATGACCTACTGACAAATGGCAGTCATGGCTGTATTTAACCACGTGAACCAGAACATTCTGGGGCTGACTGCTCTGGCCTTGGGGGGGGAACTCTGCTTCTTTGGTGGACCCCACTGCATTTTATCCACTAAAAAGAACAAAAGTCTTGCCAATGGGCAAAAAACTACCCATTGCAGAGGGAGGGACATTGTGGAAACTCACCCAGAACCAATCACCTGGCTGGTAAAAATGGTTTCCCAGTTCCAACCCTAGCTCCAACCCTAGCTCCGTCTCCCCCAGCTTGCCCAGAGTTGAGCTGGACCCACCCAGGGTGTCAGCCCTCTGCAGAGGGGCCTCGGCGGCTGGTCCTAGCGGGACCCCTGCTTTAGGACGAGCTAGTTTTCACAGCTGGTGGGTTTAGAATCCTCACAGCCCTAGGCTAAAAAGGGACGGGGAGGCTTCATGTCCTCAGCCAAGAGGACTTGGGGCCTAGAGCTCAAGAACCGATGGAGAAGCCCATAGGAGTGACCACAGGAACCCACAGTGTGCGTCTCAGGGAAGCTGGGTCCGTTACTGAAGTGTCTTTTTAAGCACTTAACTGTCAAACAGCCAATTAGGCAACCTCCCTTTGTGTCAGTGGCAGAGTCAATGCCAGAGGCTGGGTCAGAGCATCACTGAGTCCTTCCAAGTCCAGGGTTCTGTACAATTTTGGAAACATGTCATAGCCACGGAGGAAAAGTAATGAGGGAGCGAGCTAGTTCCTGGGAACCCCACGTTGGACGCAAAGACAAGGAGAATGAAAGCAGAGGATCCCATGAGCTCCCATGAGGGGGAACCTGGGTTGGAGTGGGGTGGCACTTTCTGGGATGAGGGCACACGGTCAGCAGCATCAAGGGCAGTGAGAGGCAGCAAGCGTTCCCCTCCTCCAGGATCAATGGGTGCTATGAGGCCCTCTCAGGTGGCGCCACCACGGAGGGCTTTGAAGACTTCACAGGGGGCATTGCTGAGTGGTATGAGTTGAAGAGACCTCCCCCCGACTTGTTCAGGATCATCCAGAAGGCTCTGCAGAAAGGCTCTCTGCTTGGCTGCTCCATCGATGTAAGTCCCCACCGCCCTCTGCGGTCGCCCAAGGGAAGCCCTGACAGCACCCAGGAGCTCATTAAGAACATTAGTGCATCCCTGGTTCGCCGTGCTGCTCATCACTTGAAGCCAGGGGTTGCTAGGCAATAGCCAGGCTGTCTGGAGGTGCATTTGGTATAGAGACGGTGGTGCCTCCAGCCCTTCGGTCCCCAGCCCATTTTCCATTCTAACTCTGCTCTGAATCACCCCACTCACAAAACCCAGCTTCCAGAAAAGCACCCCAACCCCCTGTTTGAGCAGCCCAGGAGCTTCTCACTCTGCACTGGTGCCCCTGGGTCCTGGAGAAGACTTCAGAGAGTACCAGAAGGAATTGTTCCCCCAAAATAGCTTTGCAGGCAAACCTCAACAGGGAGATGGGAAATGGGCGTGGTCCAGGCCCCAGGAGTTTCCCAAGGCTGTGCCCAAAAGGTGGGAAAGAAGGGGTTTTGAGGAATTAACAATCAATATGCTGATTGTGAAGTGAGGTTGGAGATAAAAACTGCCATCCTGTGCAGCTGAGCTGGGCGGGGTAGGGGTGGGAGACCAGAGCATCTTGGCCACAGATGCCCGCGGGGTGTCTTCATTAGGGCCCCCACGAGCCCTTGTCTCGAAGGTGAGCCCCTTCACGCCATCCCCATCCAGAAGATGGAGGGGGTGGAGGGGGGGTGCGCCAATCAGCACTGAAAGTGGCACGGGGCTCCTCCAGGTGGCGGGGTGAATGCGCGGAGTTCCCCAGGTTGGGCCCCCGTGCCTTACGCATTCCCTCGGGCGGTTTGTATTAGAGCTGGAGCAGCTGCTGACTGTGTTTGCAGATCACCAGTGCTGCGGATTCGGAGGCCGTTACGTACCAGAAGTTGGTGAAAGGACATGCGTACTCCGTCACCGGAGCCGAGGAGGTACTGGCCCTCGGGGAGGATTGAGTCCCTCCCCCACCCCCGCCCCTCCGCCCCCCAACACGTGGCTGTCCAGGGTGGAGCCTCCAGGCCCGCATCAGCCCGGCGCGCGCTGCCCCCTGCTGGCCACAGCGGCGGCTGCAGGCGTTCTTATATTCCGAGAGAGTTACAGACGTAAATCTCTGAATCAGCTTTTAAAACAAAATCCGGACACAGCACTTTGCATCTGTATGGTCTTTTATACTCTTCAAAATACTGTTAGTGGGCGTGGTGCCTCCTATCTGCAATCCTAGCCTCTGTCTCCCGTGTGCTGGGATTTTTTTTAAGATTTATTTTTATGTGTATTTCGGCATTGCTAAGTTTTGCCACACATGCTATCTCCATATATATGCATGGCTGTTTTTTTCCGAGCCATTTACAAGTAGGCTGCAGGTATGGTGGCATGGGCCTGTAGTCCCAGTTACTTCAGAAGAGGAGAAGGAGGGTCACTTGAGTCCATGTGTTCAGGGCCAGCCTGGGTAACCTACCTTGTCTTTAAAAAAAAAAAAAAAAATTCCCAAACTGGATCTTCCTTTTCATCCGACACCTTTAAGCAGGTGAGAAAGCTTCTCTGGGAGCCCAAAATACCTCCTATTTCAGTTAGTTAATTGAGATTTAGCCCTAACGCCCCAAACAGACACCAGGGCAGGCCAGGCTGTTTATGCCTCAAGCTGTGGCAAGGATTAAAGGAAAAGGTCCAGCCCTCCAAAAGCCACTCCTGGGAGCTTTAATTCTCATTTTCATTGGTTTATTCATTTAGTTTTTGCTTTGGAGAGGTGGTCTTGTTTGCTTTGTTTTGTTTTATTGAGATAGAGTCTCACTACGTAGCTCTGGCTTCCCTGGAACTTGGGGTGAGGCTTCCTGGGTGCCTGGGGTTTAGTTCTCATTTTCCAAACCTGGGCAGCAGTGAGGATCTGGGGGCCAAGCCCCATCCAGCTTCTGTTAGCCCCCTCCACCCACTTGACTCATGCTGAAGCAGGGTGTGGGTCCAAGACCCTCAGCCTGTCTCTCCTTGGATCCTGCAGGTTGAAAGCTCAGGAAGCCTGCAGAAATTGATCCGAATCCGGAATCCCTGGGGACAAGTGGAGTGGACCGGAAAATGGAATGACAAGTGAGAAGCACTGGGTGGGCCGGGGTGTGGGGTGGGCCGGGGCGTGGGGTGGGCCGGGGTGCAGAGGTGGGCTGGGGTACCGGGTGTGCCGGGGCGCCGGTGGGCCGGGGTGCAGAGGTGGGCTGGGGTGCGGGGTGTGCCGGGGCGCAGGTGGGCCGGGGCGTGGGGTGGGCCGGGGCGCGGTGTGGGCCAGATTATGAGCGTTCCACTAGGACCTGTTGAAACCCAGAGAGGAGGCACTGTGTGCACTACCAAGTGAGGTTCCAAGGTCACTTGCTAGTCACACCAAGTGGGTCCCAGGGCTGTGGCCCTTTAAAGGGTTTTGTAAACAGGACACTGCTCCCAGCACTGGGGTGCTCTGACCAGGCCCAGGCCTCCAGTGGAGCACATTCTTTCCTACTGCACGGTCTGTCCTTTTCCAGCTCAAACTCACTCTGCGGCTGTGCCCTCTGGGGGAAATGCCCCCCGTAGGCTGGGGGGTTGGCTTAGCAGGTACAGGTGCGTGGCACCAAGCCTGATGACGTAAGTTTGATCCCAGGGACCCAAGCGGAGGAATGGGAGAACCAGCTACCACAAGTTATCCTCTGACCTCCACAAAGGCACCATGGCATGAGCATGCCATCACCTACTGGCATATGTGAGCACACACACACATATACACACACACTGGCATGTGTGAGCACACACACACACACACTGGCATATGTGAACACACACACACACACAGACACACACACACACTGGCGTATGTGAGCACACACACAGACACACACACCACATACACACACTGGCATATGTGAGCACACACACACACACACAGACACACAGATACACAGATACGCTCACACACACAAGGTAAATAAATACATGTAAAACAGAAGAAACAGTTAAGAAAAGGCACCCTCCTCCTAATAGCACTTCCATTTCAAGGACATGAACTTGGTGCCAAGGGCAGAGAGGTGCCTGTTGATCTCCGGAGCTTGCGGGTAGCTGTTAGGCTTCAACCCTCAGGGGAAAATGCTCCGCTGAGCCTCTCCTCTGGGTCCCCCACACACCCTTTCCCAGCTGCACACCTCCACCCCTTTTCTGGCGTGTTCTAGGCAGCAGAGGAACACCTCTGGGCAGGCTTCCTTCCAGGTTGGCTCGGGGGGGGGGGGGGTGTTCCCTTGGTGGATTTCCAGTTGCCCCTAAAAGAGCTGCCAGGAGCATCTCACCTGGAGCAGGCGATGTTCCTTCGTCCCTTCATGATGGGCCTTGCTCATTTTCTATTCTTCTGTCCACCATCTTCCAGGAGAGCATGACCTCTTGCTCGCCGTACAGCGGTCTGTGCTTGGTGTTTCTCAGTGGGGTCTGGTCCAGGTGGGATGAGCCCCTCCTTCCAGAGGCCTGGGCCCTCAGTAGGGAGAGGGGGTGTGCTCCGCTCCTCAGCATTTGGGGACCGTGGAGAGAAACGGCCATCGTCACACACCCATTCCTAAGGCCTCCTATTGCTTTGCTTTCCAGCTGCCCCAGCTGGAACACGGTTGACCCAGACGTGAGGGCAAGGCTAACGGAACGGCAGGAGGACGGAGAATTCTGGTAAGGCAGTGAAGGCTCCAGGGGAAGAGCCCCACCCCAGCACTCTTCCACAGGAAAGTTGCCAACCAGGGCATCCACCAGAAATGCGTTCAGCGTGTTGAGGGCATGTGGCATGGTGCCCTGGCAGGGTGTTGTACTTCTGTAATCTAGACATTGAGGCGGGGGCTCTCAAATTGGAGACCAAGCTGCTTAGCCTAGGCTATCTAGCAAGAACTTGTTTCCAAAAACAGAAGATAAAAAAAATCCTCCATGAGATCCCGAACAACTTTTAAATCTCTTCAATTTGTCCGTCTCCACAGTGGGGTTGACACTCTGAGCAACGTCACAAGGGTTGAGAGGGATTCCTTCAGTAATGTTCAGACCCCAAGAGAAAACAATGAGAGAGATGAGGCCTTTCTTCCCACTAGTCTAAAGAGATATCCCAGCTCATCAAGAAACCAACTCCGAGGTGAAGGGATGACTTGGTGGTTAGGAGTCATCTAACTCTCTGCTCATGCAGACCTGAGTGCAGTTCCCAGCCCCACGTGGTAGCTCACAGCTGCCTGTAACTCTAGTTTCAGGGGATCTGGCCTCCTCAGGCTCCGGCATGTATGGTGCACGTAAACTCACGCAAGCATACACACATACTATACATAAAAGACGTCTTTCAAAGAGAGAAACCGGTTCCTTAGTAAACAGAGAAGGACCCTTGTGTGCATCGCCCCACACAGCACCTTTCAGTGGTTTCTGTTTACCCTAAGAGCACCTATGTTGTCTCAGTTGATATTTGTTAGTGGCTTTCATTTCACATCTGAGAGCTCTGGGATGTAAAGAGAGCTCACCTATTTGCTCAAAGTCACCTGCTTAGAAAGTGGCAGCTACAGGACTAGATTTGGGGCCTTCTGAGTCTGTGGCTCTACTGCCCACCACTGGGTCTCCCGCAGCTCCTAGTCTGAGCAGGTAGAGGGCCAAGGCTGGCTCCGTGTCTTCTGTAACTCGGGACACACCGTCTCTGCTTTGCCAGGATGTCCTTCAGTGACTTCCTGAGGCACTATTCTCGCCTGGAGATCTGCAACCTGACCCCTGACACCCTCACCTGTGACTCCTACAAGAAGTGGAAACTCACCAAGATGGACGGGAACTGGAGGCGAGGCTCCACGGCAGGGGGCTGCAGGAACTACCCAAGTAAGGGTCGTGGCCATGTGAGGCTGCAGCCATGGCATCCTACCCTGACAGATAGGCCACGTCAGGGGAGTTGGCTGCCGCTCACGCAGGCCTTCACGCTTTCTTCAGCATCAGCCTTGGTCTCACATCTTTTTCTGTTTTCTCAGTCATGCTACTTCCTGCATTCATTTGCTGTGATAAATTTCAGCTCTAGATCCTCTGGTGCCTGAATCTTCGTCTGGCTTATGGGGGCAGCGCTAAGTCCCAGTTCATAGCTAGCTACCCTAGGCCCTCACGCACTGCATCCATGGGGTGGGCACACCAGCTCATCATTGCCGTCTTCTACCCTCTTATGTGTCAAGTTCACTTAGAAAACGTGGACGGCCAGGAGGTGGTGGTCTGTGTAAGCGGAAGTTACTGTTCCGCCAGCAACTCCCAAATACCCAGCAGCCGCTTCCCAAATAATTGATTCGGAGGCTTAATATTACTTATAAATGCTCAGTCGGGAATCCCAGCACCTGAGAGGCAGAAGCAGGCAGATCTCTGAGTTTGAGGCCAGCCTGGTCTATAGAGTGAGTTCAGGACAGCCAGGGCTACACAGAGAAACCCTGTCTCAAAAATACAGACAGAAAGGATAGAAGGAAGGAAGGAAGGAAAGAAGGAGGGAGGGAGGGAATGTCGCCTGAGCCCAGCTCACATGGGGAGAGACTCTCTCCTCTGCCCCGCTGTGTTGACCCCCATGGTTCCGTCGTCATCTCCATGGCTCAGGCATGCTCCACTCTTCTTCCCCTGGGAACTGTCTGGTTTGGATGACCTCTCCAGTCATAGGGTAGGGCATACATGGAGTCCCGGGAACTCTCCCAAAGAGCACCATCTGTGTATGGATCTTCTTGATAAACTTATTCCCATTCCATCTTGAAGGTGATGGGACTGAAACAAAGGACAAGTGGCTGGTCCAAGGCCACAGAGCTTTCTGGGACCTGAACCCAGGCAGTATGGTTATGGAGTCACTCTTAGTCTGGCAGCAGGCCGTGGTCATACTCTGTTACGGATGGGGAAACTGAGGCTCTACTCACTGAGCAAATAGACTGTGACTAGCTGTCCAGTCCCTCCAGTTGCAGCATGCTGTTACCAAGTTCTGGAGGACACTACTGGGAAGCCCCTCTGCCACCACAAAAACAGCCTGTACTTATTAGATGAGGGGGTCAGGAGACACTCTCTCAAGGACCTTTGAGTGAAGGCTCTTGGCCTTGTGGGACGCTCGCCCTCAACAGTACTTATTCAGGGCCACTGAGGTAGCCTAGAAGCTTTGTACGTAAATGAGTGTGTGTGGACACAACTGGATTTACGGAAGCAGTGGTGCCAGCCATGGCTGTCAGCTCTGCTAGACCACGCTTCTGATGGCATGAGGGACAGGAGGCACTTGGTGTAATTACCTCAAACAGGAGTGACTCAGTGCCTTCCTGAGATGGGTCTTGGAAGTGGGGGTGTTAGAGGCACCATGAGAGTGAGCAAGAGACAGAGATGAGATGAGACAAGAGACTAAAGTAGTACACAGGCTATCCCTGGCCTCTGCATTCACCACGGGGTAGGGGCAAAGGACAGCCACAGTGTGGGTGTCCTTAGGGAGCACCAAGACAAGCCAACCGAAGGGCAAAATAGAACTCCAGGGGGGGAAATTCCTGATTCCGGTCCTTCTGAGATTCAGAGTGTGTCAGGAGCCCAGCAGCCTTCCATTTCTCTGACTAGCAGGGGATAAGCCTTTGGGAAGACTTCACAGTTGGGGTAAGGATATAACTCAGATGCTAGAGTCATTACCCAGCATGCACAGAGCCCTGGGTTCATTCTCTAGTACTAGCAATCCCTGCACTGAGGAGGTGGAGTCAGGAGGATCAGAAGTTCGAGGTCACCCTCAGAGACATAGCAAGTTGAGCTATATGAACCCTTGTTCCAGAAGGAGAGAACAGAGGAAGCCATTTCCTCCTGAAAGGTGCAGATCTGCCTCTATAGCCCACCTCTCTCAGTAGCCACTCCGCCGGCCAGGGGCTTCAGCTGGCCTCTACTCGGCTTCCCCATCTCCACTTTTCTCATCCTTGTCCCAACACCTTAGCCCTAAGGCCGGGGCCCACCCCAGTTCCCAGCTTCTGGGCCTTTCTTCAGGGCTGGGCTCGTCTGTCCCTGTTGCACAGATACCTTCTGGATGAACCCTCAGTACCTAATCAAGCTGGAGGAAGAAGATGAGGACGATGAGGACGGGGAGAGAGGCTGCACCTTCCTGGTGGGCCTCATCCAGAAGCACCGGCGGCGGCAGAGGAAGATGGGCGAGGACATGCACACCATTGGCTTCGGCATCTATGAGGTACGGGCCGAGGATGGGGCGGCGGCACTCTACCTCCCCTTCCTTTCTCCCGGTCTCGCCCGCACAGACCCCAGAGGCAGGACTTGGAATAAGACAGAGGACAGGCAAGGTGACCAGGCCAAAGTAAAGACGCCAGCAGGGCCAGACTCGGCTGACACAAGGTCTGCACAGCTGTGTGTGTCTCCGAGGACCTCCTGGCCCTTCCCTGGGCCTCCATAGCTACCCTCCTAGGAGTTCTGTGCTTGGAAAAGACCGCTATGTCCCTTTTCACATCCCTTAGTCCTGGAATTCTGGTTAGCCCAGCAAACTCCAAAGAACAGAAAAGACTTAAGCTAGAACAGAATATTCTAGAGCACACCAGAAGCATTGTGAGGCCAGGGTTGAGCCAACAGGCCCTAATGGTCAAAGCCCAGCCAAGGACTTTGGCCTGGATGGGAGAGAGCCCAGGACAGGCTAAAGAAGAGTCATTATGCTCCCCTGGGGTCTGCTGGCTGCAGCCCGGCTCTCACAAACCCCTCACTGTCCACAGAGCCTTCTCTCATTCTAAGCCAAAGGAAAGCCACGCCTGCTCAACTGTGCCAGTGGGCAGCCTTGCCATGGCCGTCTCCCTTCTTCAAGCTGAGGGCTAGGGCCAGGAGACCTGACTCCATGTCGGGGCTCTGCTGCACAGAACATGGCCTTGGGTGGCAGGAGATGAGTGCAGCATGCAAGACCTCAGGGTAGCTGCAGAGGTGCCTTTTTGTTTAGTGAGTGCAATCTGGCAATTTGCTGGACTCTTCCTGGTTCTGCGAGCCGCCCCATCATTCCCTCAGCCCCGTGTTTAGCGAGATCACCTGGGTAGCCTGAACACGGCTTTGGGAAATGGCAGACATTACCAAGCTGGATTTCTGCCCACCAACTCCAAGCACACTCCTAGCACACTGGAAACCCAGACTAGGTGTCAGGGAGAAGGCTCAACTACTGTGCTCAGCACTGGCAACGTGGCTGCTTCTGATTGGCTACTTGTCTGAGCCCCATCCACCAGCCTGAGAAACGGAGTGGGATGAAACCCATCAGTTGTGCAGTGTACATAGTCCCTGGACTCTCAGTCTCTGAAATGGAAGCTGAGGACTTCAGATCTGGGCTGAATCACTCAGAAAGGCAAAGTGAATTGTGCCCACTCACACACGCACTTGGGAGTCCAGTCATGGGCTTTCAGAGTTGGACAGGATGCTGGCAGTTGTCAGTCCCATTTGAAATGTAAGAAAACTAAGGTCAGTGAGAGAATGTGGCGTAGTGGAGGAAATACGTTCATTCTTGATGGGGCTGGCCTGGCCTGTTGCTTCCTCCAGCTGCACCCAGCCTACTTTCCCTGAGTGAGAGATGGGTGTGGGCTTGAACACAGCTACCTGGTGACCTAAAACAAGTCACCACATGTCTCCAGGCCCATTCACCACATCACCAAGTCCTAAGAAGATTTTTTTTTTCTTCCAATGTGGCCAAAGTACTTTAAGTTGCTTGAAAAATAATTTCCGTGTTGACCTAGTTCATCACCCTGGGGCTGCAGAGAAAAGCGCACAACCAAGAGTCAGTCACCATGCTGGTGTGTTCATTACCCCCAATCTGAATCAGGTCTCCTTTATTTTTCAGGTTCCAGAGGAGGTACGTCCGGCACATGTCAGCCCCCAACCCCAGGGCTCCAGCTGCCAACACGATTGAGGCTTAGCCTGCCTGAACTCAGGGAGTAGCGGGGGCTTGGGAGGAGCTGGTGGCCGAGGGGTGAGCCCTTGTCCCCTCTGAGCCCTGTGGGGGTGGCTCCAGTCCTGGATCCCCGCTGGACTAAGCTCAGGACATCTATCTAGAGAGTTCATCGGTGCTTTCTGCTTCCCCGCGGCCCTTGAGAAGCTGCACAGAGTTTGGCTGTGGTGGCAGCCCTGCTGCTCTTGGACTGTGTGGCTCTGAGAACAAGCAGGGAGGGGCAGGGGAGGATGAAGGCCACACTGTCCTGGACCCAACTCCCAGGCTAGGTGACCCTGTACACATGACATATTCTCTCTGAGATTTCGTTTCTTTTCCGGTATAAATGGGGAGCCATCACCTCCCTGGGCACTGTAGGCATGAACTGAGTTATAGGTCACAGTTAACAGTAATAAGATGCATAACAGCCGGGTGACTCAAAATGCCAGGTATTAAATGACTCACCCATGGGCATCCTGCTTTCACCAATGGACAGTTCAGTTTTATTGAATACTACCTTAGGAGTTGTGGGCCCAGCCTTGAGTGAGAGCTGGGCCCCTTTCTCCTCCCCCAATCTCGTCTTAACTTTTATCAGTGTGTGAAATACAACCCCGAAGTGACCTGGGTCCTTTGTGAGGGAGGGGCCTCTAGCATCCCGAGAGTCAGTTAAAAGCAAGGTGGATGGGAGAGGGGACCTCCCGTCACACCTGGTCACATCTGAGCTCCGTACGAGTCATGTGTTGTTTGGGGTGTAGATTTTGCTTCTCATCGAAAGCGAACCAGGCACTGTCCCCATCATCCCTTCGTCTGGTTTCTTTGTTGACTCATCAGCTAACAGGGCAGACGAACATCCACCTCGGCAAGAACTTCTTCCTCACAACCAGAGCCCGGGAGCGGTCAGACACCTTCATCAACCTCCGGGAGGTACTCAACCGCTTCAAGCTGCCCCCGGGGGAGTATGTCGTGGTTCCCTCCACCTTCGAGCCCCACAAGGATGGCGATTTCTGCATCCGGGTCTTCTCAGAGAAGAAGGCTGACTACCAGTAGGTCCTGCCACCTCTCCTTGTCCCCGGCCCTGGCCGGCCCGTCTTTTCTCTTCCGGTCGGAGTAGGGATAGGTGAAGTGGCGCACTCTAAGGGATCTACTCCAGGAAGCAAAGGCGGAAAAATCATGCAGGATGTGTTCAGTTGGGACAGGGTAGCTGGGGGAGTGTGTAGCTTGCAGCCCAGTTTCACAGCGCACCTCTGAATTACCCAGGGTTAATACCATTCTAATGACCTGTGTGCACCCTCTAGGAGCCCGTACTCTGCTTAACCCCTGCTTTCCCAGGCCATGGGGAACTGACAGTGTTGATAGCCCGTGCATCCAGGACTTTCTGTGTCCGTCAGGAAGTCTCTGGCGGAGGCTTTTAGGCAGATGTCACAAGTTCCTGCCATTATCCCTGTGACTCACAGGAGCTTCTGACACATCTGTCACTGGGTCAGTCATTTCGCCAGCAGACAGAACCAACCCTGGACAGTATAAGCTGAAAGGCTGTGAGGACCTCAGCACTGATGGCTGGGACTAGGGACAAGATGAGAAGGACAGGAACAAGGGTGTTCTGGAGGACCATGGTTGGGACAACCTGTGCTAGAGACCCAAAAGCCCCGTAGATATGGTCTATGGAGTAGGCATAGGCCAGTCCCCAGTCATTACCCCCTGTGACAGGGAAGAGGTAGTGGGAGAGACCAGGAAACCTTTGCTTCAAACAACACATGCCAGAGAAAGAGTTTCAGTGCCCGACAGCTGTGAACTAGTAAATGTCACTGGAGTGTGACTGTGGCTCCCTGCCATGACAGGCTCTCTTGTTTCTTGTTTGTTGAAGCGTGCTGCAGGGAAGGGGCCCACTGGGTCATCTCCTGGCGGGGGTGCGGGGGTGCGGGGGGGGGGGGGCGTGTCGGGGTCAGTGTGTCCAACTTAGTCACCACTGATGAGATGGGGACAAGCCCGAATATCATTGTGATGCCATTGCTCTTGGTCAAACTCTATCCTCCCCTGCTAACCACAAGCCTGTCCAAGGGAAGTGTCAACCCCCTCTGCTTGACCCAGGGTGAGCTGTCTGCCCTTCAAAGCTGTCACCCTGACCCAGAATAGCCAACCTTCTATCCCAGTGAGCAGTACTTAGAAGTCCCTTTACCCTCTTTTGAAGCTGAAACCTAGTTTAAGATTTCAGGCACCCAATGAAGGCCCTCCTAGGCGTAAGTACCCTCACTGAGGGACTAGCTTATGTAAGGGGCTGTGTGAGAGCAAGCTTACTTTGCTAGCAGACTCTCTATGGCTTGCTCCAACTCAACATGGGACAAAGAGAGGTTCATGTGGGCAAGTCTCACCATGAAAGTCTTCCCGTGGCAAAGAGAGTTTTAGATGGAACTTCAATGTTGTCCTCTGAGGCTGGGGATGTAGCTCATTGGCAGGGTGCTTGAACAAAACAAAGTCCAGCTGGAAGTGAGCCCACAGAGCCCTTACCCTCCACACAGGAAGACTGTGCTGTTCGATAAAGACCCCCAAACCAACAGAGTATCTCTGTCTCAGCTTCTACTGCCAAGGGGCTGTGCTATCACAGAAACTCAAGGTGCAGGGATCCTCTCTCCTACAGCATGCTGGGTTTAAACACTGATGTTCTAGTTTATAGGGTGACTTTTGCAGTGTTTCTTGTTCACCCTCCCCAGCCTTCTAATAACAAAATTTCCTTCTGTTTGCAGAGCTGTGGATGATGAAATAGAGGCCAACATTGAAGAGGTATTTCTTCCTTATCTCTCTAGTTCTAGCCATTCTAATGGACACAGAATGCAGGAGAGCAAAAACATGGCGGGGGCCTGGGCGCTGCTTGGACTGTGGGAGCAGGGTTTGAAAGCCAGGCTGTAGATAGTCTCTTGTCCATTAAAGCCCAGTTTATCCACATGCAGCAGGCGTGAGGCTGGTGGGGAAGGACAAAACACCAATGCTGCATTGAGCAGGCTGGGTTCTGGTGACTCCTCTTGCTCAACCTCACTTTTATCATCTATAAAATGGACTCAAAGGATAACAGAACTCCCAAGTTTCTGAGAGTTCTAAGAATGATTCTCTCATTGGATCATTGTTGCTGAAGCCTGGTGCTTGCCATATGTACCCAGTGGGACACCAAATGGTTTGTCATTGACCAAACTGTTCCACAGCATTCCCCTTGGTTCCTGTTGGAGTAGGCCATACAAGGTCATTTTAGTTAAACATTAAAGATACTTGGAATTACAGGAAGTTAAAGCATAACCTCCCCTGCCATGTGCTTTCCACTCCCTCTCATGGGCTTTAGCCAAAAGAAACAAAACAAAACAAAACTTGAGCTGGGCATGGTGGTGCACATCTGTAATCTCGGCCCCGCAGAGGTAGAAGCCAGATGATAAGGAGTTCAAAGAATCCTTAGCTATGTAGTGAGTTCAAAGCCACCCTGGACTGCATGAGACCCTGTCTCGTGAAGGAAAAAAATTCTTAAAAGATAAGTGTGGTGACACATACCTGTCATCCCAACACTCGGGAGCTGAGACAAGGATCAGGAGTTCAAGGCCATCCCCAACTACATAAGGAATTTAGGGCCAGCCTGTGTTATATGAGACCTTGTCTCCAAACAAAACAAAATATATAATTCTTCACACTGCCATGCATCATAAGCCCGGTATCCCTAGAATTCTGGCCTGAGGGACAGGAAGACTCTGGAAGTTGGGGGGTTGGGGGAGGGGCTGCCATGGGAGGGCACCTTGCTGTCCATCTGCAGTTTAGCCCACTTCTGTTTCTGTGCTCCACCTTCTAGATCGAAGCCAACGAGGAGGACATTGACGATGGGTTCAGAAGGCTGTTTGCTCAGCTGGCGGGGGAGGTAGGTGTCACCCAAATTCTGCTGACATAAAGGAAAAGCGGTGTTCCTGGAGGAGACTTCAGTTTAAGCGGGGAGGAAACAAACCAGGCAAAAGCAGAGGAATTTTGGTCATCGCTCAGACCCTTAGCTCAACACCGATTGCTCACATCCTCTCAAGCCCTGTGCTGGCTCCCAGGGCCTCTTCTGTTCAGGTCAGCCCTGGCTCTGCTCTTCCTTCAGATTCTTGGCTCACTCTGAGGTTGTTTTATTTCCTCTGTCCCATGCCAACTGAGACATGAAACATGACTCCCGGTCTTGACCCCCGTAAACATACCTGAGATGGAAGGGTCCCGTTCCTCCAAAATGTAAGCAGATTATACCAAAGCATTACTTTTCTTTTTCTCCCTTTCTGCCCAGCAACCCCAGAAGCAAAGTGTCCTTCTCCATTGTGTAGCTCTCTAGTGTTACCATGACACCCGTCTCCTGCCTAGCCACAGACTCATCAAAGGACTTAGGCAGATGCTTTGCGGTACCAGCTGTGTTCCCCATTTCCCAAGGGGAGGGGCCTCAGAGAAACGTACTCTCTCCGCACACACACACACACGCCCCTCTATGCACACCCTGGGCCTTGTCCAGGTTACACAGATTATACAAGTACACCTAAGTGAGCAGAGGTAGCTGGACCACTTCTGAGAAGCCCTGGCAAATGACCCCGGAGAAAGGCTGAGCCATCTCAAAGATGGCCAAACTTAAGCAGTTTCAGGAAGCCCAGGATCTGAGCTGCAGAGGGTGGAGAAGGGCTGCTAGGTAGGAGGGATGGTGTGGGAGAATTAGGGTGAGGAACACCAGGAACGTGTTTCCCACCATACAGAAAGGGTGACTAAAGGGTGACACTCCACCTAGTGTGTGCCCTACATCATAACAGTCTGTTAAACACAAGCCAAGGCACTACTTCCGGTAGGCTGGGGACAGTGGAACCAACATCACTTGGGGCATTAGCAATATAAACAAGATCCATCTAAGATGTTCACCGTGGTTCACCCAGCTCCCACAGGGAGCCCATAATGATGGTCTGGTCCTTTGTCCACAGGATGCGGAGATCTCTGCCTTTGAGCTGCAGACCATCTTGAGAAGAGTTCTAGCCAGGCGTAAGTGTCCCCTTTCCAAGTCCCTCATCATACTCGTACCCCTGCGGACATGAGGGGGCACGGGACTTCAGGCGTAAGTGTCCCCTTTCCAAGTCCCTCATCATACTCTTACCCCTGTGGACATGAGGGGGCACGGGACTCCTTCCTTTAAGCACATGTCTGTAGCTGTGGCTGAACCGTCACTTTCTGCTCCAGGGAAGAACAGGACAGAGGAGGGTGTGTGACATAATGCTATAGAGCAAAGGTTCCTGGGTCTAGAGATAAGAGATCAAATCCAAATTCTTCTGCTTACAAGCTCAATAAGTAAACCAAGTTAAATAGATCACCTGTCTGACTTTTTACCCCTTATCTGCAAAATAGACACGCTATGACTCCCTCTTCCCAGTAGTGAACATTGTGTAAAATCTGCCTGGTCCAGAGCCTGTGTGCTGTGAATGGAAATTCTCGTAATGACTCGTTGGTAAGAAAAGGCTAAGTCAGTGCAGATGATGGGCACCAGAGTCCTGAGTTCCTGAGTTCCCTGCCTATGTTTAAGAGGCGAGGTCACTGATGGGCCGGGATGGAGGATAATACGCCTTCTTACACTCAGACTGAAGGAGACGGACCACAGAGGCTCTACTCCCAACCTTGAATTTAAATGAGCTTCAAGTCACTTGAGCCAATGGGCCAAGTCAATAACTTCTGGACTCTGGAGATGTCTGCTCAGGCTGGAGGCGCCCATAAAGAATAAACAAGACTAGGTGGAGGATGGAGAATGAGTTACCATCAACCTTTTTGTAGTTTGGGACTGTTAACCCTTTTTTTTCTTTTAAAAAGTATAGCGCATGTGTGTATATGTATGTGCATGTGTGCGTGCGTGTATACGCATGTAGGCCATGGTACACATGTAGAGGTCAGAGGACAACTTACAGGAGCCTGTTCTCTCCTTCCATTGCGTAGGTTCTAGATATCGAACTTAGGTCATCAGGTTTGGTGATAGCACCTCTACCCGTTGGGCCATCTCGATGGCTTTTTTTCTTTTCTTTTTGTTTTGAGGTAGGGTCTCATTCTGTAGCTTAGCATGACCTCCTTGGACTCCGTATGTAGCCCAGGCTGGTCTTGATCTCACAGCAGTCCCCCTGCCTTGGGCTCCTGAGTGTTGGATTACAGTATGTGTAATTCACCATGCCAGCTCTTCCAGCTGTTTCTTAAATAAAAATTGTCCAAGACTAGTGCTCGCTTCCCCCACTGTTCCTCACCACCAGAGAAGGAGGAAAATACGCTTTTCCCTGCCAATCGTTACAAATCGCGCTGCTCCTAATAAGATGGTAGTTAGTGTGCAATGCCTGAAGTCATGTGTGACATCACAGACATCAGCTGTCTGTCATCATGGACGGCCCATCTGACACCAGACCAGATGGCCTCTCACTCGACCCCCCAGGCTAAAAGTAAATCCTTGTTTTAAAGCCAAAGAAGAGTCCAAAGTCTGTAGAATAGTCCACAACTGGTGTGTGTCCCTCACAGATATGGGAGACAATGGGTTGCTGCCTGTGGCTCCTGAACAAACAGCCACAGGAGAGCATCTAGGATTCACAGAGCACTCAGCCATCAGGGCGAGGAGCCAGCACCCAGGCTGGCCAATGCAGGGCTTCCCCAGGGCTGCACCCAGCCACACTCTCCCTCTTCCAGGACAAGAGGACAGTGTGTACTTTTGTGGCTGTTAGGCACAAAGGGTGGTCACAGGGCTCTTCGGATGTTGGCTGTAGTGCCTTCAGAGGACAAAAGTCTCTTTGTCCCACACAACTGGAGTACGGGAGGAGCTAAGCCATGCCTGGTCCAGCCCATTCCTAGTTGAGGGAAAAGACGTGTGGTGTACGTACTTCTGAACTCAGGCCCTTCCCCTGCCTGCCTGGTGACTCCAGCTTTCTGTCCGTGTGTCCCCACACAGCCCCGTGCCCATCCTGGGGAATGGGTTGGTGTCTAGTACAGCAAGTTTAAGACAGGCTAAGCCCAAATAGTCTACAAAGACATCACCAAAAGGGTTGTTCCTTGTGGCCTGGTGAGATGGCTATGGGGGTGACGTGCTTGCCACGCTGGCATAAGGACCTGAGTTTGAGTCCCCAGAACCCATGTAACGCCAGGCACAGGAGCAAGCACCTGCAATCCTATGGTGAGTTGGGAGATGGAGACGAGTTCCCAGAAGCCTGTGAGCCAATCTAGCATGCACAGGGGCTGACAACAATAACCCTGTCTCAAACAAGGTGAAAGGTGAGGACCGACACCCCAGGCTGTCTGTCCTATGACTCCACACATGTGCCACGTTACACACCCATCCATACCCACACACATGCATACACACCCATCATACACACACATACCATCATCCTCATCACACACACACACACACACACACACACACACACACACACACACACACACACAGTTACTCCTCATGAAGTCTGTGGGGTGTGTGACAAGAGTCTCAGTCTCAGCACAGGACTTACCTAGTAAAGCGCAGAAGGTTCTTCAGATTTCCCCATCAGTTGGGACACAGACACACCTATCTGCAGATGGACAGATGGAAAAGTTGCCTTCCTCTCTCCGCTCAGAGCCTACAGTAAACACACGTGCTCTCTGGCTGCATGTGACCACAGGCAGTTTTCCACCCTGTCGGCATTTAAAGGTTCAGCCATGACCAGGTGTGGTAGCACATACCTATAATCTCAGCATTTGTGAGGCATAAGTATGGATCTGAAGCCTGTCTGAGCTTGAAAGCAAGGCTCTATCCAAAAAAAATAGCCCAGTCATTTTTTTTACGGTCTTACTTGTTTGTTTTAATACGAAAGCCCTGTCTGTCCATGGCAGTCTACAGAGAAATCCAGCCTGTGTAAGATCCTCTGTGCCGCCCCAGTTTGACAGCCAATTACCCACACATGATTAAAGTAATCCATGGGACTGTGGTAGTGGCCGGCCCAGAGGAAGGACATGTCTGTCTTTGTAGAAAGTTCTGTCAGACGGTGCTGGTCTGGAAGGCTTTGCTCACATTCTTACTTTGTCTTGTAGGCCAAGACATCAAGTCAGATGGCTTCAGCATCGAGACCTGTAAAATCATGGTGGACATGCTAGATGTATCCTTCAGTGTGCCCAGAGCAGAGGCTAGCTTCCTCGGATAAAGGAAGTGAATCCACTCCTCACCTGCCTTCATAGGCTTGGAGTGCGGACAGCCAGCCTGTCAGGTCCAGGGCTACAAACCCTGACCACACACCCACCGTCTCCGCCCAGAGCAGCCCCGGCAGCCTCTTGATGACAGCGTTCTCCTACTTTTCCAAAGCGGAGCTTCTCCAGTAGTGTGTCCGCTATGAATCTGGGTCTGTGGCAAGATTCCCTTCTCAAACCATGTGTGGTGGTACACTTCTGTTAATTCTAGCACATGGTGGGGCTGAGGCAGAAGGATTTCCAGTTTGAGACCAGCCTGGACTACACAGCAAGACTGTCTCAAAAAAAAAAAAAAGCTGGGCGGCAGTGGCGCACGCCTTTAATTCCAGCACTTGGGAAGTAGAGCCAGGTGGATCTCTGTGAGTTCGAGGCCAGCCTGGTCTACAGAGCGAGATCCAGGACAGGCACCAAAACTATACAGAGAAACTGAGGGCCCACCTACATGGCCATTCTTTCTCTGCGGCCTAGCTCCCCCTAGGCCACCCACCTGTCCCGGAAGCAGAATAATCATGCTTCCTCTCCATTTCTGATGGTCAGTAACAGAACAGCGCAAGCTTCTATGATCTACCGGCCGCATGGCATATACCTATGACACAACAGCTCCCTTCCCAAGATGCCTTAAAAATACCCAAATAGTTCTCAAGGGCCCAGTTATCTGTCTGTCATCTCATAGCAAACTGTCAGCAAGATCTGGGGTCCCCACAGCACCCCAGTCAGCAGACAGCAGGCTCCATCATACCCTTCCTGCTGCCCTTTTGAGGAAACTCTTGAGTATGAAAAGCAGAAGGCAAACCCTCCTGCAAAACCTCCCTGTGCCAAGCAGACGCCACTGTACCCAGTGACGACATACTCCAGGAGCTTTCCTTGACCGAGGGCAGGAAGATGGGAGCGGCAAGCTGGGGCTAAAGGAGTTCTACATCCTCTGGACGAAGATTCAGAAATACCAAGTAGGGGCCTGGGGACCCTGGGGTGGGTAAATCTGTGTTGGGGGATAGTCTAGACATATACTTTAAGATGCAACTTCTCTGGAGGGTGGGGGGACATTCCCGGGAATTGGACTTTAGTGGAACTCAGGAGTAAAGACCCGGATATGCCAAACACACAAACCAAGCAAGGACTTGCAGGTAAAGCAGTCTTAAACTTTCCTTTGCCTGATTAGTAACCAGAAACGAGGCCACGGTCAAGAGTCTCCTGGAAAGGCTGCATAGTGTCTTGTAGTTTGGGTTTGTGGCAGTTCATATGTAAAACATAGCATAGGCCTGTGCTGACGGGTTAGGTGATTTGATGGGCACATTAAGAAGTCAGCTCATAGAAAAAGGCAAGAGCACTAGACAGCAGTTCTCAACCTGTGGGTCATGACCCCCTTGGGGTTTGAATGACCCTTTCTCAGGGGTCACAGATTAGATACTTACCGTTTCGTCACGGTAGCAAAATTACAGTTATGAAGTAGCAAAGAAAATAATTTTATGGTTGGGGGTCACCACAACCTAAGGAACTCTATTAAAGGGTCACAGCATTAGGAAAGTTGAGACCCACTGCCCTACTAAATATTGAAAGTGCGAGTAAGGCCAAACTAGAGGCACGGAGACAGGCACCTGACACCTGTTTTGTTTGGGGTTGTGGTTCTAATAAGTATTTTCCGTGTTCCAGAAAATTTACCGGGAAATCGACGTTGACAGGTCCGGAACCATGAATTCCTACGAGATGCGGAAAGCGCTGGAAGAAGCAGGTAACACTTCATACCCACACCTCCCGCCTGTTTTCTGTGGAGCCTCGTTCTATACCATACAATATAAAGCTTTGTTGGTGGGTCTGAAGATGCAGCTCGGAGGTAGAGCTCTTGCCTAGCATGCACAAAACCCTGGGTCCTATCCCCAGCATCACAAAGAAGTTAGACAAACCAAAATTTGGTTGGTGGCATAAGCTGTGGATGCTGGTCAAAAACGGCATACCAATCCATCCTTCTCACTCCCCTGGAAAAGACGGACTGCTCATATTAAATGTCATCCCGGAAGCTCTGTCCTCAGTGTCCTCCTGAATCCAGGTTTTCTCTGGAACAGCCTGGCAGAGCAAGAAGGCAAAGACAGCTCTGAGTGTGTGTGTGTGTGTGTGTGTGTGTGTGTGTGTGTGTGTGTGTGTGTGTGTGTGTGTGTGTCCCTCCTCATGCTCCTCACGCTCTTTCCCCTGCAGAGCTGACTTGGTAGAATCTGTCTCAGCTCAGTTTCCAGGAAAGCCCCAGCAGAAGAGACATTAGTATCTGGGGTGTAAATCTAGCAAAGACCAACAGAGAGGAAAACTCTGTGCTTGAGGACAAATCTGACTACAAACAATGCTGTACCTTTCCCTCAGGCAGCCAAGACTGGGATGGGGCCTCTATCCACTAGCACCCAGGCTCCTCCTCTCTACTGCTTAGGATCTAGGACAGCAGGTCACCACCATCACATGCTGCCAGCAGGTCCACACACAAAGGGCTCCTTGCCTTTGAAGACACACCCATGACTTCTGCTCACGCACACTACTAGCCGGAACTTACAAGATCTCCGACAGCTGCAAGGGAAGCTGGGAAGTGCAGTCAGCATGCCCAGACAGCGATGGGCCTGCTCAAGTTCCTTTTCTGTTCACAAGAAAGAGTTAGTATCAATTAGTTTACCACCATCAGTCTACCACCTAAATCTAGGAAGAAACTAATCTCCCAGATGATTGACAGCTAACTTACATGGCTGTTGTTACATGTTGATGATCATGGTTATCAATTCAGAGTAGCATGACCATTGCAAAAGAACAGAGCAAAGCTTTATTTGTTAGTGAGGAAACAGACAGGGTGATGGAACAGTTCAGAAGGGAAAGAAAGGACTCCACTGCAAAGTTCAACCAGCCACACAGCCCGTGGACAAAAGCAACTGTGGGTGTCATTTAACGTGTCACACAGTTCGGGGAGCTGGGAAGATGGCTCAGTGCTTGGAAGTATTTGCTGCTCTCACAGAGTTGTGACTTTGGTTCCCAACACCCTCTGGGCAGCTCACAGCCACCTGTAACTCCAGTTCTAGGGGATCCAACACCCTCTTCTGGCCTCTGCAGACACTGCATACAGGTAGTGCACATATAGAAAAGCAGGTACATGCACATAAAAAATAAGTAAATAAAATGTAAAAATAAAGGAAGGGGGAGAGAGAGAAAGAGAGTGTCCCATTGGTTCCACAGCCTGTGAGCAGAACTAGATGGTGAGTGTGGCACTCGGCAGAGCTAAGCAGTGGGGTTCTGGTACCCAGGCAATGGCTGTTTGTTCACTCACCTCCAGGTTTCAAGCTACCCTGTCAACTCCACCAAGTCATCGTTGCCCGGTTTGCAGACGACGAACTCACCATCGATTTTAACAATTTTGTTCGGTGTTTGGTTCGGCTGGAAACACTATTCAGTACGTGGCTCTTTCTGTTCCCATCACTCAGAGTTAAGGCCTATCTTGTCTTTCCCCAGGGGTAAAGTCACTGGATGTGTCTATGAGTTGGGAATGAATTTCCCTTTTGTTAAACTGGGGAAGCGGGAAGGAGTAGTAACCTGTGTCGTCCAACAAAAATCAGCTGCCAAACTGGACAGCGCTGCAATCTGCCTTTCCACGCCCTCATTGTTCACCCCCTGTCCTCCCTCCACAGAGATATTCAAGCAGCTGGATTCTGAGAACACTGGGACAATAGAACTCAACCTTATTTCTGTAAGTCAGCAGCTCACACCAACCCTGGCTCCTGGGAAAGCTGGTGGAAGATGGGTCAGACAGACTGTGTTGGGGGTGATCTGAACGAGCTGTTCCTAGGATGACTTGAACAGGCTATTTTGGGGGTGACCTGAACAGGCTGTTCCTAGGGTGACATTCTTTTGGAAATTTTGCTTCTGAGGTTTTTTTGTTTTTTGTTTTTTTGTTTTTTCTGGTCTATTGGGGATTAGCCTGTAAATGGTTGTAAAGTCCCATGATGCACTTTGATTTTTCTATTTCTGAACTACTTGCTGATTCTTCTGCCTAGGAGAAAACACCTGGCTCTCTCATCCCATGAGCTTTGACTGGAACATGAGCACCAGGTTAAATTAAGATGACTGGGTATACCAGATGGCTGAGGAAAGAACTGATCAGCACTTGAGAGAATGTGCTTGTAGAATGAAACACTTGGGTGAAATTCAGGTTGGGTTCTGGGAAGACCTGCCATTTTAGGGCATAATATCTACTCAAAGTATTTTTTGAGACAAATACTTCTATTATCTCTCCTCTTTAACATGAAACTAACAACAATACATACATTTATCATATGTCATAATAGGCTTACATGTCTAGATCTCATCTGAGATCAATCTAAGTCTGCTATTTTCAACCTGTAGATCCGCAACCTCTTGGGATCAACTGACCCTTTCATAGGGGTCTCTTCAAACCATCAGAAAACACAGATATTTACATTATGATTCATAACAGTAGCAAAATTAGTGTTGTAAAGTAGCAAGGTTTATGGTTGGGGGTCACCACAACATGGGGTTCTATATTAAAGGGTTACAGCATTAGGAAGGTTGATAACCACTGATCTAAGTCAATGTGGCAGGCAACTTCACCAAAAACAAAGCATAGGACATCCTCTTGTCACCCTGCTAACAGAAGACTCACACTCACAGAAGCAACTGGGTGAGTAGAGAGCCTGCTGAGTGTTCACAAGGCCCTAGGTTTGAGTCTCAGCATGGCAGAAAAGAATAAAAACAGCAGAGAATCCAGGACCACATGAGTCCAGAAGGCCACAGAAGGATGCATTACTGGGTGGGAATGGTCATCATTGATATTTCCTCATGTCACACAGAGGAACAGAATAGCAGGAAGACAGGGATTAGGTTCCAACAACTTTTTTTCTTGAATTTTGAACTTTGGTTTAAACCAACACTCAAACAGCTGTTCACTGCTCTGCAGTGCATTGTAAAGTACCTGTATCCAAGTGGAAACCTTTTAGCTAGCTACAAATGACCAGTTGCTTAAAGCTCTCCCTCTCTCTCTCTCTCTCTCTCTCTCTCTCTCTCTCTCTCTATATATATATATATATATATATATATATATATATATATATATATATATATATGTATGTATGTATGTATATATATATATACACACACATATATATATATACATATATATATGTATATATATATGTTAGATGTTAGACGTTATATTACCTAAGAAACACCCTCAGCCTGAGCCTGCAATTTAAAGGCAAGTCAATACAACTGGAATGTCAAACATGCAACGCTAGGTTCTAGAAGCTAGCCTATTCTCATTCCTGCTGGATAGCCAACTCTGGCTCCCCAACCCCACTCCCTGCTTACACTCTGACCAGTCCCTTCCTGTTTCCTAAGGAATACCTTGTATTCACCCTCCATTTAGCTTACCCTCCACAGGTTCCTAAAGATCCCCTAGGAGGTGTTGCCAAGGATTAGCCCTGTCTAGAAAGTCTCCCCTTAATTATGCTGTGGTTTTCATGATTTTCAACTTCAGTTGTGGGTTACATCACCCTGGAGGGCTTCCACACAGTCCTGATGACTTGGTGTATTCCACACCGACCTAGGGTCTGAGAGTTCCTGTTGCTCCAATTTAGAACCCAAGCTGAAGCCAGTGGTTTCTGGATGTCCACAACTCAAAACTTTTTTTAAATTTTTTTGAGACAGGATCTCAAAAAATTCCTGGTTGGCCTGAAATTCTCTATGTAGACCAGGCTAGCCTCAAATTCACAGCAATCTGCCTGCCTCTGACTCCCTAGTACTGGAACTCCAGGTATACACCACCATACCAGCCCTGAAACAAACCTCTGATGTGATGTGTTGAAGCAAAAGTGTGAAAATGCTAGTCCATACATTATTTGTATTCAGTACTAATGCAACCACCAGTTTAATCATCAAACTGCTAAACTAGTCTCCAGAAGTTAGGTAGAATGAACTGCTAGGGCACTGACATCTTAGTCCTTGGTAAGCTTTCAGGTTCAACCATCTTCCAGCATAACCCAAAGCCACCTATAAAGCCTTTCATTTTAACAATGGTCCCTGAATAACTGGTTCTTTTCTTCACACAGTGGCTGAGTTTTTCAGTACTCTGAAGTTACATGCCTGAAGACTTCTAATGGAAGAAAACAGCCAATGCCTAAACTCCCAAACACTTTGTCTCTGGACCTCGACCTTATGGGAACATTTACTTAAATGGATGATTAACCTGAAGAATATAACCGTCTGAGATAGATGAATTGTCACTTACCAGAGTAAAAGTTTTCATATAGATAAACCAAATGCAAATGAATTGCATAACCCTTGATAAGCTCGAAGAAAGCTTCATGTCTGTAAATAGTATATACTTTTTACTTCTACACCTTTTCCTGTTCACAGCAATATTAAATCAGGAAGGAATGCAGAGAGGCATTAAACAGCTAGGCAAACAGTAAATCAGTCTCAGAGGCCACAAGGCCTTGATGGGAATATTTAAAGAAATTTTTTTAAGTTTTAAAATGCAGTGGTGGCATCTGCCACAGCAGCCCAGGGACTGACACTTGCCCTGAGCAAACTGGTAAATATAACGATGCATCCTGAAGTAATTTGATGGAGATATCTAAAGAATCCAGGAGCCAGCAGTGGTGGCACTCCCCTGCAAATAGGAGTCTGAGATAGAGGTCAACCAGGGCTACCTAGCAAGACGCTGTCTCAAAAATGAAATCAGAAAAAAAAAAAAAAAAACATGGTTGCATTATTTGGTTCTAACAAAAGATGGTTTTTATACACTGTCATGAACAGTAAAGTCCTTCTTAAACTCAAGTCCTTGACCATAGTTGGCCTTACACATTTAAGACTTACAAATAGTGAGTGGTGACAGCATCCTACCCTGAGCAACTGTAGCAGTGCATCAGAGCCAGGTGTCCAGTTTGCAAGAAGATCATGATAAAGGACAAGCAACCTGTTGGATGCCTCATATGTTTCTGTACTTCACCTAACCCCAGGGATTGTGCCTAGAGCTGGGGTGGAGAGCTCAGAAGGTCTTCTTAAAACAAACAGGCTGGCTTCTTGATTTTGGGGAAACGCTAGCAACATTGTAAGCATATTGCCTTATCTCCTTACAAATGTACTGTTAATAAAGAGTTGCCAATGCAGTCACACCACACCTTGTTTTTGTTCCTAGAGTGTGGCCCCCGTGGGAGGGTTTATGAGCACACAGTATTACAGCTGGGTTCTACTTAGACAGGTCTGCTGCTCTGAAAACTCATCCATTGAGAAGACATCTTACCTACAATTAAACTATGGAGCTATACGATGTTTTAAAACTCCAGTTCAGAAGTTCTGGGCATTCGACCAGAAAGGGCAGCCCTAATTTCACCTGTTTGTTGGTCTCTATCATTGCTGGCTCCACCACTTAGGCCAGCAAGAGAGCTGAGAAAACCCCATATTAATTCACGAATCCCGGGTTATGACTGTCACTGGTGATCCTTGAAGAATAATAAAATGGGAAAAAATGACTGTAGAAGGACAGGCCCATAGGGTTGAGGAAGTTGGCTCAGACCAGTTGCCAAGGCATGCACATAATGTACTCCTTATGAGCCAACCTGGAGTCTGCCTGAGGGCCTAGCAACAGTAGCTGTCAGAGTACCTAGTCGCTGTTAAAAGTTCCTGATCAATGTCAGAGTTCCTGATCATGCCCAGTCAATGAGGGACGACCACACAGACTGGGTGCTGGAAGGAGGGTATATAAGGCCTTCCCTGTTATTGAATAAATGAGTTCCTTATTTGCCTTCAACAGACTCCCGGTGTCTGTGCCGTTGATGCTGCACCTTCTTACCCCCTCCCTGGAGGGAACCATTAGAATCCAAGCAACAGATGACCTGATGGAAAATGCTACCTACTCTTTCACGGAAAGAGGTCTTTTGTTGTTGTTGTTTTCCCCTAGGGGCAGGGGGTATATAACAGAGCTTCATATAGTCCAGACAGACCTGCAACTATGGCCTTGAACTCCTGATCCTCCTGCCTCCACACCCACAGTGGGAATTTCAGCCCCATGTAAGTAGTAGATGGATTTCTCAAATGCAGCTAGAGTGGGCTGGGAAGGCTAAGAGGTTGGAGTATGAATATGGAGCAAACTTGGGTCACTGGTATGAGCTTCCTCTGTTCAAGACTGGGGGTTTCAGGATAGAGAGGAGTGGATTGTCTCAGGACTATCGGTGACAAGGTAGTGTAGATGAAGGACTGAAGATGGGGTAGGGTTGAGGAAGGTGATAAAATGTTTGAAATATGAGGCTAGGAGACCCAGCTGGGAGGGGATGGGAGTGAGGGCAGGGATCCTGCCTTAATAAGCTGAGAGAGGAGGAGGGTCTCAGGTTAGGTGCAGAACGGGGCAGGAGAGCTGGCCACTCCCAAACGGCGGAGGCTATTTTAGACATCACTGGCTGGCACCACGTAGCCAGGCCCTCCTGCTGCATTTTAATCTCAAGGGCTGACCCTGTTGCCAACTGTGCTCTTTATTGCAATGGGGGAGGGGGGCGGGGAGGAGAGACCAGGTTCAGTTCCCAGAACCGCATGGCAGCTCACAACCTCCTGTAACTCCAGTTCCAGGGCATCTGATGCCCTCTTCTGACCTCCACGGGCATTGCACGCATGTGGTGCACTCTCACATAAGCAGGCAAAACGACCAAACACATACAACGTAAGTATAAAATCAAAAACTGGGCGATGCCTGTTACAGGGAGGAAATAAACCTCCAAGCTTTTTGATCCCATAGGAACTGTCCTAACCAACATCTCGCCACCACTCCCCGACACCTCTGTCCTGAATTGCAAGCCCAGACCTATCTTATCCCGTCTATGCACTGGGCACACATCTCTTCAGTTGTTCTTTTCACAGCTCCTCGGTGACACATCCTACTCACACACCTGCCCTCCCCTGACCTGTCCTTCCCCCAGGGCCAGCGTTCTAAGCTGTCCCTCCTACATCCACTTCTTTTTGCCCAAATCACATCTCCACCTGGTACCATCTAGTTAACAGCCAGTTACCCCCTCGTGCCAACTCCCAGGAACACCTTCCTGCCCTCCAGCCCACCCCCAACCAGCCTTTGCTGCCTTTAATTCCATTGCTACTTCCTCTGACCTGAGCCCACATTCTCCTGGTTTCCTTCTGTCCGGTCCTTTTGTCAGCTGGGACTCCAGTCACATGACACCACTTCCAGCCAAGGCTTCATCGCCTATTACATCAGAGCAGAGCTGACACTTCCTTCTTTCGCATGGCCCACTGCCCGGTGCCTCCTTCACCTTTACTTTGCAAAAACCTATAAATTCTGCTGTTAGAATGACAGCAACACAGAGAACTGAAAAGCAGTCCATGTTAAACATTAAGCTGTTTGATAAATTATGAGAGTTTTATATAGCCGTTGAATCTTAACAATGGCAAGCAACAGAATACAGAGTTGCTTACAGCATGCTCCCAATTATGCCGTAAAAATCCAGACAAGACTGTTGGAGCCCATTTAGGTTTCCCAGTGGCTTTACCCAGCAGGTCTGCATAAAAAGGATGACTGGACCACAGGCCTGAGTACCAGGTGTCTGAGATGGTCTACACTGAACTGTGCTGGGGGAAGGTCTTTTGTGCCACCCCTTGGCCTTTCTTTAAATCTCCTAGGGGAGCAACAGACACAGGGCCTGATGGGTTAGGATCCAGGCCCTCCCGAGGCTATCCTGTATTTTCTGTTTCTCTCCCCTCTATACTTCTATCTAGTATTTCTTGCTGCCCCTACTCAAGAGTACCCTGGGGGAAAAGTGTGGGGTGGGATGCCCCCCACCAAGACTACAAAAAAATATGCCTAACGGTGTCTCTACAATGTCCACTGCCTAACTCTAAACAAGAATTCCTAGAAAGAAGCTGGGTCTTCAGAGACTGTAGAAGTGCAGAGATGTGGAAAGATAGTAATGTTACAGGCCCAGGGCTTAATCACCATATCTTGGGCTAATTTTAGGCCCTGAATAGCCATCCCTTGCCTGCCTCTATGTCAAGCCAACATCTGGTGACTAATAGATAAAAATCAGAGTCTATGAATCTAAACTCTAAGACTGTCATCAGATACATCTGAGACCTATAGGAGATTCTCCATCTTGCTGCCTCTCTGATGTACCCACCAATCCCTTTTTAAGCCTTGATTTATGACTTTCTTTGCTCTACTTCTATAAAGCTTCACGAAACCACTTCCACGCAGACACATGGAACCTGGAGTAACCTGGCTCCATGTTTCCTAGGCCTCGGTCATTGAAATTGGCTCCATCATAAACTATCTTATTCCCTTGAAAGCTGTGGTTTTTTGAGTCAATAACCTTTTTCTATACTTTCAAGTATTAACCCCAAGAAGCTTTGATACTTTAATAATAAAACAGGTAAAACAACAACTACAAAGGGAATTCTTAGGATAAAGCAGCGGAAAGGCACCTGTGGTGGGCCTGGCCAAGGTGTGCTGCTGAGAGATCACAGCATGCAACAGATCTAATGTAAGGGGTTGATTGGGGGATGGAGGGAGAGTCTGGGAGCGGGGACAGGAGAGAAAGAGAGACAGAGAGACCAAGACTGGGAGACAGAGGGAAGGAACAAGACAGAGAAGACCATCTGGGGTGGCCTGTGTTGCTAGGCAACTCTACACAACTGGTAGCAGATGTGGAAATGTGGTGCACCTGGTGGTGGTGCCCAATTTACAACAAGAATAAGAACAAATGGTAGGATTACGGAATATGCAACAGACCTTCTTGGTTCCCTCTCCTAATTTCCACATCTTCTATTTTCATAGACTCACGTAAGTCTTTAGCTTACTCTACAGCACTTTCCATGGTTCCTCTCAACAACTCCTTAGGTTTCACGACATGGATTAGGAGTACAAGTCTCATGGAGATCAACTGCTTGGTCAGGTCACACAATTAATTCCTGCAGTGCAACAGTCTAGTTCTAGAATTCAAGTCCTATTTATTTCCTACTTGTAACATCTCATACAAATCCAGTGGCTTCACAAAAAATACCCTTTATTCCACACTTGTACAGACTGGGACCCAGCAAAAGTTTAAGTGCAGCCCACCTCCAGCTGTGGAATCATCTCCAGACAGATCAACTTGCCTGGTGGGGTGCTCTCAGGTCCATATGGCTTCAAACCTGAGGTCTTGTCTCCATCCAAGTTTTCAGTCCAGAGTTTTCTTAGTTTCTACACTTTCTAGTTCCTGATCCTTCATCTTCAAAAATACCCCAAGTCTGGCTGACCACCCCTTCTGTCTCAGGCTCCTGCCTCCCCTTCTGCTTTTCAAGGGCTCATGTGATTACACTGGGCCCACCTGGATAATCCAAGTTGATCTTCCTATTGTGTTAGCTGATTAAGGAACTTAGTCCCAAGTCCTGAGATCTGCACCAGACTCACTAACTGGGGAAGGGAGGAGGCCCACTGGGTTTAGAATTTTGCCTTTTATGTATAATCTCCATATTTAATCCATGTTGTCATTCTTTGTTATCTGAAAGGTTATGTTCAGTTTTTCATCTACTTTCCTTGTTAGAATTCAGCTTTACAAACGTCTAGAGAAAGTAACCACTGCTTTTGCATTTATATCTTCTATTAAATTATAGTTCCACTAAGCAAAATGGGTTCTAAAACAACTCATTAACTTGTATGGCAGTAAAGTAAAATTTAAAAATCAATGTATATAACTTTATGAAGAATGTGAAAAGAAATGAGAACACTGAAATAGCCCAGCAGAGGTTTCAGGTCTGCTACCATGACCTCCAAGATCTTTTTTAAAATTACAAAATTAGGGGCTGGAGAGATGGCTCAGTGGTTAAGAGCACTTACTGCTCTATCAGAAGACCAGAGTTCAGATCCCATCCCCAACATCAGGTAGCTCACAAACCATTTAAACTCCAGCTTCAAGGGATCTAACACCCCGCCCCAGCCTCCATGGATGAAACACACACACACACACACACACACACACACACACACACACACACACACACCTCACCCTTTCCCTCTCTCTCTAAAAAAAAAGTAAGATATTCTAGCCATCCAGACTCGTGAACTGCAAGGCTCAGTTTTTTGTAATTAAGAACTGCTTCTCAATCACACAACTGTAAGGAAATATTACCACAGTTCATTATT